AAAAAAGAGTGCACATTTGTGAAACAGTTTGTTTGCTTTTTTTCGTCTTCTGTTGAACAGCGGTTAAAATTCTATGAATCACGCGTGCGATGTGGCATTCAACCAATAAATAAATTTATTGGGAAACGTTCGCTGTAATTTACATTGCATCTGAGTTAAACCCCTACCGAACGATTACGTTTTAGTTCATTGTGTGTTCGATTTAGGGAATTACTTTCACTGCCCAAGCTGCATTTTTGTGGCTGTGAAATAATTGCTTTCATTTTACTATCCTTTTATATTATACGCAGCGCATGAATAAACAAAAAAAAATAGAATTGTTAACCGTACCGATAATAAATGAGTCCCAAATCGAAATCTATGTATGCGGAAACTGTTTTTTTTTATAAACAATGGAATCAACAACAACAAAATTGTGGTAACAAAATTATATTGTTTGAAAACGCTCAATAAATGTTGAAGTCCTTTTAGTGGTGGTTTTCTTTTATTTCATAATTCACTTTCAATATATTGAAATGGGTTATCGATTTGATTATAAAAAAAAATTAAGTTTTCTCTCTAACCTATGATCGATTGTTACTTATGAATCTTTGTATCCAGCCGACAAACGTAAAATGCGTATTTTCAATTATTTTTTTTTTGTTCTTTCTGTTTGAAAAGAACGATGAAGAATTGAGTATGCTGATTTTGCAACAATCAGAGAAATTTGGTGTGTCGCTTTCTCTTTCGCACTTGCCGCTACATCGTGATGTTGATGTGTATGTGTTGCTGTCATTAGTGCGAGCGAGCATGTTATATGACAGAGTTGAGTCAGTTTCATCGTATTTCATGACTTAAATCAGGCTTGAACAAATTCATTGGAATACGATTGCGAAAAAAGGGGTGAAAATGGATAAGACAAATCAATGACAATCGAAAGACAACTAGTCTCAGCGCAACACATATTCTGTGCTATGGTTCCATAAGCGAAAAAGGCAATGAAAGAAACGAACAAATCGTCTCAAAGAAGAAAATGCATTGAATATTTACATAGAAATTAATATGTTATTCTTACTGTCTACTCTTCTGATATATGCTGTTCACAACTGGGTGGTTTTACTGCTCTCATGTCAGCTTGAAATGTATATGTATGAATGTGTAAGTGAGTAAGTATGTATTTGTGTATGGATTGAAAAAGCAACGAATATGTGTATATATGGCTCTGGCAACGAAAAAAACCCCAAACCAAACTAGTTTCGTGCTCTATTGTTGGCTGGCGCACCAAAAAACCGATTTGCAGCAGAAACAGGGCAAACAAAGCAACCATCAACGCGACAGCAACCTGAAAACACTACTATTCAAGTAGAAAAATCAATAGATTTGAAGTCAAAACGATGTATTTTAGTGTTCCATACTTCACGAATTGTTGTTGTTTTTCGCTCCGGTTTTGCAGCACTCGGCATAACATACGCTTTTTTCTTTTATTCAACCTTTTTTTGGTAATTCCTTTGGAACTCTCTCAATGTTTAAAATGTGCTGCGAATCGAATATGTACTCAGATGAATCGGATTATTATTTCTTTTTTTTTCGTTTTTACTCTTTTTTTCATTGTTGTTCATGTGCATTGATGATGTAGTCCCTATTGAACACATTTTTGCAAAATAATTTATCAGTCGATCACGAGAAAAATTAAAGACTAAAACTGCCTTGAAGATGAACGAAAATTGATCGCCGTAATAATAGGATTTATGTTATAAAAAAAACCAGCAAAATCACGGAACATATTTGAAATAGCGTCTATTTTTGAACGTTGATTCATAACTCATGAATTATGCGATAGATTAACATAACGACCGCCAAAATCCAATAGGAAAAGTAAATTGTGTCTGCAAGGAGAAAAGGTGCGATCAATATCTTTTTTAGTACGTTTTTGTTTCCCTTCAGTTTTTGTTACGACATTATTTTGTCTCCAATATGAATTTTCGAAATGTGAAACATATTTTTATCGCTTAATTCATGCAATAATTAATTGAATTTATCATTTTGGTCAGAAAAATATCAAGACGAATCCATCGAAATTAATACGATTGTTATAACACAATTTACATACGTATTGAAGCATTCTAATCGATTTATTGATTCTCCTTTGCTCGGTAGTACGAATGCAACGCTGCAAGCAAAGTGCTATTCATTGTATTTGCCTTTCTATAGAAGTGTGTTTATTGATAAAACGACTGTCATCTGTTGTGTTTTGTGTGCTCTTTCAAACGTCATTGCAATCAAGTGCAATATCGTACATTTCAACGTTGTTATAGTTCGCTAAATATCTATGCTTTAGCATAGATTTGCTTAAATTGATTTTAAATGCGTCCAAATACATGGAGGTCATATACCGGTTGTGATGACATACAGTCTGTGTATTTCGTTCCGCCCCGCGCAATACAAAGAGCTATATTCTTCCATCGATAAGTTAGTTACATACCAGCGCATGATGCCATCAAAAGGAAGGCGACGCTGAATTGGAATTTGGAGCGGGTACAAAAGTGAAAAAAGGAAAATTCCTTATTTTTCAAGAAGGAAATTCGTCTTTCTTTCATTTTTTTCCATAGTTCGTCTTTCGAGAAAGCATAAATTACATTTAATTTGCCATAAAATATGTAATAGTTTATGAAAATAACAAAAAAAAAACACTCGACGAATTTTGCCGATGTGAAAGACAGAAAAAAAGGTCGGTCTCACTTTTCATAAATTATTTCTTTTATTCATAACGGAAGGTAACACATAAAAGTACACTTGAAGCGCTTTGAAAGTTCTTTTTTTTAACTTTCAGTATATACATATGCGTCGCTCAGTTTTGTCTTTTACGTTTCCGCACACATAGTGTAAGGTGAAAAGTATTGTAATCGGTCAACATTTTGAAAACTTCAGAAACATGTTTTCTGGGCGTTTTTGAGGTCAGAGAACCCGAATCAGGCCGTTTTGAGCATGGTTTTTGTTAATCTGTACGTCGTACGTTGTACGTCGTACGTCGTACGCAAAATTTGTTAGCAAGATTGCGCTCATCGTAGAAACTTAATTCAAAGTCTGACTTTACAGGATGATTGGGGGTCTCGAGGAATAGAAATCATTAGATTTTGAGCGACTTTGGTTGATGGAAAAAAATTTCATGCCTGTAGTGATACCTATGAAAAAGAGTCAAATTTTCGTCTAAAAGTCATACTTAATGTAGACTCAAACACTCAAAAATATGTATTGGGGGTTTTTGGCACGAGAAAACCAAATCCGACGTTAGTTTTGAGATACAATCAATTTTTGATACAGTTTCCTTGAAAAACCGCAAAAAAATGCATTTTTGTATGGGAGCCATGCCTGTATGCTACCTTAATGACGTGAAACTTTGCACAGACTATTTTTTACACAAAAAAATAACATTCTGAAAGTTTGAAGATATTTCAATTAAAATTAGGGGTACCTCCCATACAAAATTTTTGGCTCAAAAGCGAATATTTTGTATGGGAGGTACCCTTAATTTTGGTTGAAATTTCTCCAAACCCTCCGAATGTTATTTTTTTGTGAAAAAAATACCCTGTGCAAAGTTTAACGCAGTGACCGGTTCGCGCATATTTCTATGCCTGATAGCTATGCTAAGCATAGCGGAGACGCAAGCCGTAACGCACCCGTCGCCATTCGATTCGAGCTATATTGTATGCGCACGGTCGTCTGCATAAACGAACATGTGCATTGTTCATATAGAGTGAACGGCGATGCGTCGGTTGCGTTTGCGGCTATGCTTGGCATATCTATGCTACCTAGCGTATTTAGGCAAACATAGAAATATGCGCGAACCGGTCACTGGTTTAACGCCATTAGGTAGAATACAGACATGGCTCCCATACAAAAATCGAAATTTTTTGTGACTTTAGTTATGAAAAGTGTTTCAAAAATAATTTTTATGGCAAAATTAACGTCAGACATATTTTTTATAGTGTTTTGTTAGAAAATAGAATACTTTCAAATGTCGTACAAATGGGTTCATCATGAAAGTGTGAAAAATCTTTTCTCGAGTACCTCTGCTATTAAATTAAAGAATGTTTTGTTGCCAAAGTTGGAACATATTTTTTGGTCTCGAACTTTACGCCGCTTGAAAGACTTGAAGAATCGAACAAATATTATTTTGAACTTTCTTAATAAAATACGCAACTACCACCGTGCGGAAAAGTTCGTCTTACTCCCATAAGACTCTTTATTTGTTATTATTCTTGTCCGAGTGTTTCCTTTTTTGTACAATTGATCCGACCTTTTGATGTATCTTGCACTTGAATTAATTAACTTTTTAGGCAAAATTATTCATTTGTCGCAACAGACATTGGGAGACAGCTTATATACGTAGAACATATTTCTTCACCGCGCTATTTCACTTCTTGTACAAATACATCGCAAACATTAAGTGGAAATGTGTTAAACAAAAAAACAAAAATTCCAATCAATTCTGTGTATCAATAACTTTCTATTATTCAGTCGGATACAGTTTAGAAGTGAACAAAAATATGCTGCATATTGTATCGGTATGGGTGAGAGAAATATGTATCTTTTAAGAAGATGAACATTGACAATAAAAATTAATGAACAAAAATGACATCAAATTATTTTACTCTAATTAAATGTGCATGTATGTAAGGCAACAAAGCATTTCGAGAAAATATGAGGGGAGGTATTGTGTATTGATCGTTGAAATATGCAAATTTTATTAAGCATTGGCCAAAGTGGACTTATATGAAGACATTGTTAATCAGTGAGAATAAACGCACACAATACACACTTCACTCTCTTTTAATGTGGTCACATTAAATAAAATGTTGTCAGATCAATTTGTGTGATACGATGTATAAAGGGAATTTATATGTAGAAATGAGAGTGTGCTGTTTACGAATAAAAATGAAGAATAAGAAGTAACAGATGAATAAACCAACAAAAACAACAAAAAATTATCGCCAAGCAATTTATAAATGAATGGAACTTACCTGTTATTGGAAAAATTAGGATGGTCAAGGTCAAAATAAGAGCCTGGACACATCCCCAGGATGAACTAAGACGTATGAGAATTTGGCACATGGCAGAGCTACACGATTCGCGGCATTAGCCGGTCGGGCTCTCTGTCAAAATCATCTGTGAGCACCATTACAGGCTTGGAAATATACACTCTTCGCGCTCGTACTCGCACTTTTTTGTTGTTTGCTTGACACCGTGTATATCACTTTTATTTTGAAGTGGCTGCTTCTTTTAATTAACTGTATGGTAAAGGCAAAACGACTGTAACTTGATTTCAACCAATTTAGTATATTTTACTCGCGAAATTATCCGTCTGCTAAATTATTTACTTTATTTTATATTATTCATATTGGTACTGATGTGAGTACAATTGGTTTTGAAGGTGATAGAATTTCGCCGTAACTTGACTGATTGCACAACTCATTTGATTTTCTTTCATTCGTGTAATTTTTCTTTTCTTCGAATTTTTTAAGCTAACATTAACGGAATCAACTGACTTTTCACTAAAATTTTACACATTGACCGTTTTTCTTGTTTTTTTTCTTCAATTTTATTCTTCTTCTTTTCTCGATTTTCAGTTTAATATTTTCGCTTTAACCTATTGTTTTTAGTGTAACGGTTTTGTTGTCATTTTTTGCACTTTCTTTTTGGTGTCTTTTTCCCGTTTAAGTTCTAATATGTAATAGAAGAGGCCAATTGTTCAAGTATAACTGTTGTCAAGGTTTTTGTAAAAGATATTTTGTTGGAGGGTAAAACCCAATTGTTTGAACAATGAATGTTAAATTGGAATTTCATTGCCGGATAATTCATCCAAAATTCGCCTGCATGACATTAAGTAATGAATGCGAATTATTAATATGGATATTGTGGAAAATCTGCCAGAATTATAAAACAAGTAGTAGATTTAGAACGAGAAAAAGAAAACAAAAAAAAAAACAACAGAAAATACGCAAAAGAGATAGTATACCGCTAATAAAAAACACCGAATGTTTTAAAAAGGATCCTTCAACCTTGGATACCAAATGTTGTTTCTTTTATTATTATTATAAAGAAAACAACGTTATAACGTATGATATATAAGCACAATTATTCACTTTTATATTGTTCAGTTCGTCTTTATTTTTGTATTATGTCTTCAAACACACTTTAGACTCATCAAATTATTAAATTCACAAATTTTGCTTTCATTGCTGGCAAAAACACAAAACCAAACGAAACTTGTACGCACAAATTCTCTTCACTCTGCTCGTCATTTCAATGTTTTTTCTCTTTTTTTTAATTCTCTGCTTCTTTATCTAATTCATTTTTTCCTAATGAAAGTGTATGGTGATGGTGGTTGTGGTGTTGGTGGTTGACGTTTAGTTAGTTGACACTTATTGGTTTTTTTTTTTTTCCGATACTTTGCGTTTTTGCATTTGACTGCACCAAAATTTGTTCGACTTCTCTATTTGTGTTAATGTATAATTTTTGCTGTTGCGAGTTTGGACGCATTTGACAACTTTTCACACATCATATCATTTACAGCCTCATCAAGACGCAATGTGTATCGTTTGCAAACTATGGAACTGCATAATGCTAATTCATTGCTGTCACATGTACCGTTTCTGTTTCGTTTATCGATAAATAATATAAATTTTTTGTTTCATTTTTCGGTTTTTCGTCTACGTTTTTACCAAACGGTTTGACAATGACTTATCATACGAGACACACACAAAATAATACAGTAAGTCTTAGTATAGAACGAGCGTTGGTCGCGATATCATAAATTTAACTTTTCAACACCATTTAACCGTAAACAAGCAAAAATTGTTATTTTTTTTTCGTCTTCGTATTCGTTCTCCAGTACGGCATCGAACTCACCTAAAGAGTTTGCATATAAACACTTTTCGTTTGTTCGGTGACGATGATGATGATCTGATTTGCTATGCACGTTTTATTTTCCGTTTCGTTTGATTTGTAATTAACCGCTCAAGTTCAAAATGTTCCGGCCATTCCTGTTTGTTGATGTTGAATTGTTAACGGAATAATAATTATTTTGCATACGGTTCGTTTTATTATATTTGGTTTATTTTGGAAATATTTATCGAGTCTATTTATGTGATGGTTCGCCGATTGGTTCGTTGCAGAGCTAAAAAGGAAAATTTATTGTGTTTTTAGCTCTTTTGTTTTATTGTTGATTTGATTTGATTTGATGAATTATATATCGCAGTCAATGTTTGCATGTGTACAATTTTTCTCTATCTATCTATCGCACAGAATTTTTAACCATTTCGGTTCGGTTGTATTTTCAATCCGGTTAAAAATCTTAATGATTATATTTACTTTTCGAATAGTATAACAAAAATTGCACACATGCATGAACAATTAAAGCAATAGTTACTATATTACCGTATTTACATTACACTCTATGATAATTCGTGAAAATCGATCAAATGTGAAGAAGAAAATATATCAGAAGAACGTAACGAAAATAATTAGATGGGACTTTTTTTTTGGTTCAAATTTCAAATTCAAATCGGTGTAATCATTAGAAAATGTGCAATAAAGACGACGAAGAATCAAAATCAATGTATTCAAATCGTTGTGTATAATTGGAACTTTTAAAATGACGTGTGCGGACGTGTGTGCACATTGGATGTTTGATTTTGAATTGTAATAAAATAAACCTCCTTTTGAAACTCACCGATAAATAAAACAGAACTGAATTTAAAGACTGTCTGATTGCAACTGAACGATGAGTGTCCTATCCTTATAGGCATATGCTGTGTGCGCTCCGCTGTGTATATACTACACACTCAGGCACAACACACGGCAACGCGCTAAATGTATGAGCCGTACGCAAAGCGACCAACGAGAAAAAAACGTACGAAGAAAAGAATAAGACGGACGAATGAACTAGCTAAAAGGCACATATACCGCTAAAATAGTCGCGCGAAATGCCGATTTTATACGAAATTTAACGAAACAAAATAGCGTAGACTGTTCTTACTCAACTCGATCCGTTTGTGAACTCACTTTAGTTTGGTCGCGTTCAACACTGCATTTACAGCGTTTCATGCCGTTGTGCTGCTTTATTGCCGCCTCTGTCGTCTTTTTGTTATTGCTTTCTTTTGCTCTTCGCTCTTTTTTTCATTGAATTTGAACAACAACAAAACAATTATACATTCACGATACACACTTGGGATATTAGTCGATTTTATGACACTTGTCAAACATGCATATTCTTCCTTTTGCCCAGCACCGTTGAACCGTTAGTTTATTCATCGAATTATCATTACACTGAACTATTTGAATTATTATAGCTGCAATTATTATTATTTTATCTTTTGAAAAATGTAACGTTTTAACCCATTTTTTTGGTCAATTTCGTGTCAAATGGAATTGAGCTTATGTGCATAGTTTACGAATTCCAATGGAATGGATCCACTAATTTCATTCACTTCCAATTCAATGTGAACACAACCCAATTCATTAAGTTTTAAATTGAAAATCTAACGATTCATTTGTTCATTTACGCTCATATGAAACGAGATTTCCGTAATTCGATTTTTGAAACTCTGCAGAAGAACATTTGTATACGTCATTTATTGCATTTACTTTTCTTTATGTGTAGAATTTTATTGGATGAACTGATCGCAAATGGATGGCGACGCCAAAAATGCATGACATTTTTCGTAAAGGATCATTGCTTTGAATCGTAGTGGCTGTTTGGTCAAATGCCGCACAATGGAATACCATTCATGAAATATTTTTTGACAATCCGAACTTTGAACAGCCAACAAACAATCGCCCACCGAAAAAAAGCAGTTTTGCTCTTGTACCGTTATGCGATTATCATTTGAAGAGCGTGCGATTGAACATGAAAGATTTGTACGAAAAGTTGACAAGCAAGCTAAAAGTGGTGCCCAGATTCCGCAATCCGTGGACCAACCGGCTAATAAATACTCCGAAGAATACTACCTACATCATGATTTCATGGTCCAAATTATGCATTCACAGCCGGACAATCTTGTAGGCATCGATCCGAATGAAAAAAAAATGTAGTTGGCTGTAGCGCGTTGCAACATCCTGAAAACACCCGGTGATCCGGCTGTTGAGGCGAGATATTTTCAAATCTAATTTGAAATGTGTTTGAATCGAAACTTATTATTTTTTATAATAAGCGTCAAGAAACTTGTTCGAATTACCAAGAAACATATCCAACAAACACAAAAAGGAAGACAATTAAGCGTCGAATTCGCATTGGCAATTATCAGAATGTGGAGGAAAGGTTAAAGTTGCCTACAAAAATTGGCAATTAAATGCTTTTTGCACCGCGATATTGTTGCTGCAAAATTCATTATGCTTAAAGGTATGGATCATTGTTTAAAGTTTTTGATTCAAATTACATAGGATTATGTCAAATGTTTGGCATACTTCGTTGAGAAGACCATCGAATGCAAACAATGTCAACTGACAAGCAGCAGCATTGAATCCATAAATTATTAGATAAAACAAAGATTCTAACGATAAGTTAGCGTAGCTAGGCTTGACACAAATTTTTGTGGCCTTGTTGTACGTTTATAAAAACGTACAACGGTAGTAAGGAGGGAAAGAGCCTGTAGGTGAAAATGAATGAAACTACACACAACAGTGAATGTGTGCCTGGTAATGGGTGAATTTGCATTACAAACTGTTCCTTGGGACAATCCTATAATAATTATTATAGCTTCAATTGAAAAAGAAATAAATAAATTAATGTGAAATAATTTAGTTTGATTGAAATGAATTTTTGATCGATAAATGGAAAAGTTTACATTTGGATTATTTATAGTATGATATAGTTTTAATATGAAACGTCGCGCAATGTTGGTTACCGGTTTCGCATGTTATGGCAACTTGATGGCGACGATTTCACTTTCGTCTTCTCTACTCCTTTTTGGCATCTCTTCCTTTTGTAAAATGTAAAAAAATGTGCTTTTACACTGCAGAACAATGTGGCGTCACAAATGAAATGAAAAAGCAATTCAAAATATGACATAAACAATTTTTTTAAGTTTCACGTCAACATACTTAATTCAATGAATAAATCGGTTGAATAACTAAATAATTCCAATATACGATGATAAAATCGAATTAAAAATTGTATGAACCATAAATCGTTCTGTTTTCAAATCAGTTCAATTTGTTCTGCACAGTGAACTGTCATTCCAATGCTTTGCTCGAAATTCAAAATTAGAAATATCATCCATGCAGCACAACAAAATGAAATAAATCTATTATTATTTCAAGTAAAATGATGTGCTTTCATGAATTCGAATCGAAAACTGTGGAAATTTCACAAGATGAGAGTCTCAATCGATATTACTCATTGACAACGAAAAATTACAAAAATCATTCTAATTAGTTTCTTATTTTGGCTTTAACCTACAAAGAAGAGAAAAAGTTACCGCAAAAAAGATCTCGTCAAAACGGAGCAATTCAACATCAGCCTGCATACTTATGGCACTCGTTCAACGCAGATAATATTTACAAAACTGTTGCTCATAGGACCCACTGATTATCGTTGGTTAGTAGCAGTACCACCAATGTATATCAGCTTGAATATCGTGTCTACATCGTAAAGATAATAAATTGTTGGTCAAAAATCCAAAGTAGATAACTTCTCAAATAAAATGTCTTCGAGTATTGTGTCCACTTGATATTTGTAATTTGAATCGGTTGGATTTTGGCAATAAAATATGGTATCGTAAGATAGATATGGGTAGAGTGTAAAATTGAAACTCAGCAATATTCATAAATTCTCGCCAAATTGAATATGCTTACAGTTTGATGTTGAATGAATGCGAATCGCGTGAATTCAAGCCAGAAAAAAATTTATGAAACCGTAAGTGTGCATTGCTTTTGATATGACTTTAATTACTTTTATGTTGTCATATGTTTTTTTTTTGGCGAATATTAATTCCAAAAAAAGAAGAAAAAACCGTTTCAAATTACCCGGTGTATGATAATCGCAAATATAAACGAATTAGAGCTGCAACTATGTGACCGTATAAGTGTGTACACCTGTCTTCAGTAATTGGATATTTTAAAATAAATATCAAATTAGAAGGTCCGGATGTTCATAGGATGTTTCATATAGGATGTTTGAAACTGTTATACATATTTTATTTGATAGTTATTTGCGTTTGCCGAAACGATTGTTTCATTTCAATATGCCCCAGCTCAATAAAATTCCGTATTGAATACTTATCACAACGCAGAGGGAATAAACAAATACCATATGGGCTACATTTTAAAATACGGCGGTACTGCTAACACCTTGTAAAAATAACTTAAATTCAAGCATTTTCATATCGTACAGGAAATATCATTTCTTACACCAACTGTGTCATTTGCTATCGCATTCACTTTTTTGTTTTTCGAATAATTTTCTCATTATATGTTAAGAGAAAATGTGTAAACATATATGTTCAATTCAAATTTAACTCTAACTTCATGAAAAACCTTTGTCAATCAGTATTCAGTGCTTTGGATGACTTGATTCTGAATTCTCCCCGATATATATATATAGGTGTGAAACATCTGCCATAGAAACATCGCGCCCAGCATACGCCAAACTATTCGATAGTTTTTAAAATATGGAAATACTCAAACATCTTGACGTGATGAAAGCGAACGGGAATAAAACAATTGTCTAACAAATTTTTACATTTTGAAGATGATTGTCAACCAAAAATCGACAGTTTTGTTGTTTTAACCACATTACACTTGGCTAAGCGTATCCAATTTGCCCAATTTACCACATCATCGACATCGATCAGATCAAATGACATGGTGTTTGACACAGATTTATAAGCCTTGCTTTTGACTCTCAACGGCATTTTTCTAGATGTGTGTTGTCATAGGAACGCACATTTGGCCGATTGATTTGATTGCTCTTGAAGCCGTACTGTTATTGTTTTTCGGAATTTTGGCGGTCCATAATTTAATGGGTACCACTTGGTCCTTGACACTTCAACCAAAAAAAAGGAGAGGATCATGACATCGTCTATTTTTCTCGATGCTTCAGAAACACATTTGCTGTAGTAAATCCGAATCAGATCATCGAAATATTGTGTAAACGTTTGTAGTATAAAGTTTTAAGAGAGAGTAATTTGGAAGGTTGTAAATCGTTTCTGAACGTTTGATTGGGACATTTGGAACATGTAAACAAAACAAATTTTTTCAAATAACCAAACAATAAGAAATCGACGAACTGTCATTGGGGTTACTTATAATTTCCATACAAATACTATATTGATTGCATATCCCGCTGTTTGGCAATTCAACTATCGTAATTTTTCCTATTCATTCAGTTTGAATACAATATGATTACAACATAAAAAAATGTCAAGGATATATCTCATCATTTAATAGCTGTAAACAATTATTAAAATTACTTACGATGATATCTAAACGTATGAGAATCAAGAATAATACAAATTACAGATAAACACAATATTTTCATATGATTAACGTAAAATTTACGTCGAAAAGATTCATGTTTTTTTTCTTCATGCAAACCACTTTATTTATTGTTTTACATTAATTTTACACTAGTTCAACGTAGACTAGAGCAAATCGTACAAATATAAATATTTTATTTTCATTGTGTTTGCGATGGAGATTTTATTGTAAAAAGTCTTTAACCTCTTCAAGTTCACGCTTTCTAGCCTCTTGATGAACCTAGGGTGAATCAAAAAAGAAAAATGAAATTAATGGAAATGAAGAAACATGTAATGGAATAGTAATTTTTAAAGTGATTATGCCTTGATACGAACCCATCTTGCTTCAGCTAATTTAACATTCAATCCCCAACGATCGTGTGAAATTCGGATGCCACACGTATCCACGTCTGTTTTCTTTGTTTTTTTCGGCAGTGCTATGTTTGAACCTGTATTATTGAATGATAAAAGTAATAAATCTTGTTGGACACTGACTGTTTATCAACGCGTACCTTTATGATCCGATCGTGGATGTGCTTTCTTCGCTGGGCATGTTTTTCCATTTGGTGGAAAGGGTGGCGTTCGAACATAAGTTTTCAAGCATCCAAGATGATAAATATGGCCACAAAATACACGTTCTACGTATTTGTCAGCCGTATCCTTAACTTCAATATCCGACGGATCGTTGGGTAAGCACATGAATCCACAAACTGGACACATTTCATTATGAAAATCGACAACAGCTTCGATTATGAATTTTAACGACGGCAATAAACTTGGTTTCACCTCAAATTTACTATTATCACATGCACGTAATGGGGCCTCTGCACATTTTCTTGCCATTTCTTTAGCTTGCCCATTTATGAAACGTAGCAACGTAATTGGAAAGTTTGATTTGTGTTCGGTCATTTGAACACATTTGGTTGGATATTCTTCTGGTACATGGAATTTTGCTTTATAATAGTAATTGCCTCCATTTACCTAGGGAAGAAAAGGAATGGATCAGGAATTGTTGAGTAATGGAATAATAATTTTTTCTAAGTAGTATGCCTCGATTTACTTTTAGTGAAATCATCGACGTTTTTTGTAAACATTTTATTTCGCCACCTCCGGTGCCTAAATCGTTTTTCTGTTTCAATAATGCCTTGATTGCTGCAATTTCATCGTAAGCTATACACAGCGGATTTTCTCGTAGATAATTGTCGATGAATTTCAATACATAAAGAGTCTGTAAAGTGAATTAAATTATTAAAAATAATTTCGTTTCCATTAAATAGTAGACCAACGAAAAGAAATTGAATAAAAACCTGCGGTTTTCCTTGAATTTCAGAGGCTTTTTGTTCGGCTAATGTTGTTAAGCCATCGAGCAGTTTTCCACTTATCGTAAGACTCTTTAACTCCACCAAAAGATGTTCATTTGGATAATTGGATGGAAATCGAATACACACTGTAATTTGACGAGACAACGTTTGCTTGATATTGATTCGAATCTGAAAAGTCCAATTTGAAATATTACCACATAATCATTTTTCAAATGACACAACTATTAAAATAAGAAATAAATGGAAGAAGAAAAAAAAAAGAAATTTCTTACCAGACTTCTGAGACATGCAACAATTTTTGAATTGCATATTATTTGCTCTACAATCTTATTGATTTCTTCAATTTCATAATCTATCACATCCATACTATTTGAGTATATATTCTAGTTTTCGTTGATGCTGTTTATTATGTTTACTAGTTTTTGTTGGTTCCTGTTAACCAATAGCTCACCTGATACCAACTGTCAAACGCCGTTCGTATTGAAACGACGCAAATCGACGTGAAGTTGTCTCCACTATAAGTTGTAAACAGTTTTACTTTTCGGCTCGCAATTCTTATTCATACTTATAATTTGCGTACACTCTGACGTTTTGTGTCACACTCAATTGCAATAATAATTTTAGTAACAGTGACTTGATTTGACAGCACACCAATCGTAACACTCAAGGAAATTTTGTTTAGTCATTTTCGTTTCTTTATCCTTAAATTCATTGCATATAATTAAAAGAAGAGAAAAAACGATGATCTGTTGATAAGTTTTATTTAAAAGAATTATTCATTATTTGGACGACAATATAGATATTAAGTCATACAGCAACATAATCGAATAACAATAACATAACATTTGAATGAAACAAGCTGATCCAAAATGTAAAATTAATGGTTTACAATCTAAATCAAATCTAATAAACAAATTGTGAAGCTATTATTATATGTTCAGGCAAAGGTGTTTGTCAAGTAAGATTTCTTGATTAATTATTGATTTCAACATCGATTAAAATGTTTGACGTAATTTTTGATTCAGACGATTGAAGTCATCATCAACCGAATGATATCTGAAAAATGTTCAGCTTTGAAGGCAACTATAAACGAACGCCGTCGCAAAATTTAAGCGGCGCATCACACACAAATGATCGCGAAACGCTGATACGTCGTGCTCAGCACGAACGACAAAAACGGGCTGAAATTCGAAAGCAGCATACCGGAGCAATTACAATTCAATCGTGCGTTCGAAGCTTCTTATCGCGTGTCAAATGCAAAAAAGATGCACAACAAATTTTCGATCAATACTTGAAAACGGTTGGACTCACCAATCCCGAACAGCTAGAATATTTGCTCAGGTGTATTTTATTTTTCTACGATAATAAAAACGAAAAAGATGGCGAACGACTGGTAAGCTTTCCATTTAATTGACCATGGATTTTATAATAATCATCCACGTTATCATTTTAATAGATAATATTATGTCAATTTCTAATTCGACATCCCGATAATTTGCTGCAAAAATCGATTACCGATCCGCAATGGCAACATCGAGTGAAGAAATTACTATCGTTATGCATCCAACAATTGTCACTACAAAATTTATCTCATGTAAGCTGTTCTGTTTTTTGTCGTAAAAACTTCAAAAAAAAAAAACTAATTTAAATGCCATTTTCTATATAAAAGGGAATTCCATTTCGAACTTTGGAAACATTTTCATCGGACGACATAGTTTCGAAATATATAACCGATGCAAATGTACGACGAACATACTTAGAAAGTGTATATCGTTATTTGGTACAGCGAAAATACTTCAAATTGGTGCGTCAATTACTCGAAGAAAAAATACCACCGCTGTATGATGTGGTTCTGTCGCCGCCAAATTCGATATCGGAAACTTTGCTGCAAATGATTCAGCATCCGTTGAGACTCATGTGTGCAGCAAATAAAACCACAACAACGAATGAACAAGTACCATCATCGTTGATTAGCAAAGATTGTGCAAATCTCATTTTGTCTTCGTTTGTCGAAGAGATTCTCGTTCCTAAGTATACGAAACCAATTCAACTCTTTGTTATACCATGTTTGGCGAACAGTGTTGAATTTCCATTTCCACATTTGCTTCAATATCTTAGCGATAAAATAGCGGAGAAATGCACGAATCAAACGGTTGTCGGATCGCTTGAACAAAATACGGACTATTCCATTTCAAGTAGCGTTTCCTCAGTTTCAATAGCCCGTGAAAATTCAAAAGCTATCGATGATGTATTTTGTTCATCATACGTATTTCATTCGTTTATGACACTGGATCAATTACATTTGCATCGCATCAAAAATAATGCAATTTGGGCGCGGAACTACATCAATGTTTTGGGACATTTGTCGGAAAATATACGTAAACTACAACCGCGCTCATCGCAATCACTATTTAAACAATATGATACGGAATTTGATGCGGATGATGATATTGACAGTGACGAAGAAGAAGATCGAAAAATTGAATCGATTTCAATGGAGGAACGAGATTGCTTGCTGGAAGCAATTACATTTTTAAACGATCAAAATCATGTTGAAATTATACTTGACAATATAGACAATTGTTTGGATGATGTTCAAGTATTGTACTCATTATGTAAGATTTGTCATAACCTCATGCTTTATCATCGAACCGCTGTGTTTGAATTCAGGTAAGGCCTTCATTTTCCGAATTAAAAAGAGTCATTTTATAACGTTCGCTTTCCTCGGCAGGTTGCTATTTCAGTTAACATTTAGACCACAATTTATACGCGCTTTGTGGTATACTTTGCATACGCAACAAAATAGTGCCGGATTTTCATCGCCTTTAAGTTTGATCACAAAGGGAATTCAAATAGGTATTTCATGAAAGACGATACTTTTTTGAAAACACATTAAACTAACTCAATCCAATTGAATTTATTCACAGCTGACCATGAAATCGATCGTGTGATTCCAATGATTGCATCATTTTGTGCACTATTCGGACGATTAATAGCGACTTTACATGATCGCGAATTTTGTCAAGAAGATGTTTTACCCGGTGCAATTAGTAAAATAATGCCATTCAAATTGAACGAAATCATTTCAATGAGTTCATTTTTGAAGGATATGTCATTGGGCTTAGTTGAATTGGCATTCCCTGAAACACGAACGAGCATTAATGATCATTATAGAACGGCATTACAAATGAATCAGGGTTCAAGCGCACCGAATGCAACGTCACCTAGCAAATGGCCGCATTTATTAAAAGTATGCGTATCGTTATTACGTCAATTGCATACACGAGATTTGCGTAGAGGTTTTTGTCCACCAAATCATTGGGTTGTGCATACATTAAATCTACCTCTGGATAAACCAACCGATTTAGAAATGCCACGCGGTAATCGGCATGCTCCAAGACCATTCCAACCGATTCGTGATTTCACCCGCGAAGATTTTGGTTCGTCTATTCAATTTATTTATTTTATTCAATTCCCCAATCGATTTTGCTTATACTATTTTGATTCATTTCTACAATTTAGATAGTAACGGTCCACCGTTGTCCACGAAACAAGTTCGATCCATAACAATCTTAAGAGAAATTCCATTCGTTGTGCCATTCAATACAAGAGTTGGCATTTTTCAAGGCCTTTTGGCGGCCGATCGCTTGCGGTAAGCATACATTGAGGGTTGTTTTTTTTTGCGCTTAACAATTTGAAAACGTTTCGCATTTTACAGAGCTCAAGGTGATCAACAGAGCTTTCTTCAAGGTCCTTCAATTCAACTGGTTGTTAGACGATCACATTTATATGAAGATGCGTTTGACAAATTGCGACAGGAAAATGGTAAGTTGAAATTGCAAATGGCAGCATAATAAATGTTGATTGTATTTGTATTGTAGAACCAGATTTGCGAGCAAGATTTCGTGTACAAATGATAAACAATATTGGTCTAGAAGAGGTTGGCATAGACGGTGGTGGTGTGTTTCGGGAATTTTTATCGGAACTTATTAAAACGGCTTTTGATCCGAATCGGGGATTTTTCATGTAAGTGTAATGTGTTTCGATCCATGTGTATTTTTACTTATTGCCTTTTGATTTTGTTTTCCGATGCAGGATTACAACGGACAATAAACTTTATCCAAATCCAAGTGTTGCAAAAATTGTTCCCGACTATCAAAAGCATTATTATTTCATTGGTCGAATGTTAGGCAAAGCGTTGTATGAAAATCTATTAGTTGAATTACCATTGGCCGAATTTTTCCTATCAAAATTGGCTGGAAAACACTCAGACGTTGATGTACATCAGTTAGATGATCTGGATCCGGTGTTGCACCGTAATTTATTATCACTGAAAGCGTATGAAGGCGATGTTGAAGAATTGGGCTTAGATTTCACCGTTGTTATAAACGAATTAGGTGAAACAAAAGTGCACGAACTCAAACCAAATGGAACAAATATTCAAGTGACTAGTGCCAATCGTATTGAATACATTAGTTTGATGGCCGATTACAAATTGAATCGACAAATTCGACAGCAATGTGCTGCATTCAGAAAAGGATTAGCCAATGTGGTTACCATTGAATGGCTGTATATGTTTAGCAATAAAGAATTCCAAGTGTTGATTTCTGGCGCCGAAATACCTGTTGACATTGATGATCTTCGTGAAAATACCAAATATGGTGGCGATTTTGAATTTGAACATCCTACTATCAAACTATTTTGGGAAGTTTTAACCAATTTCAGCGATATTCAAAAGCGGCAACTGCTCAAATTTGTCACATCCTGCTCTCGGCCACCGTTACTTGGATTTAAGGTATTAAATATAACATGCGTATTCTATTTCATCGCAAAAAAATTAACTCTCTATCGTTTTACAGGACCTTGATCCACCATTCACAATTCATCATGCTGGTAATACGGACCGTTTACCTAGTGCCAGCACTTGTATGAATCTTTTGAAGTTGCCCGCCTTCAATTCGAAAGAACAAATGCGAGAAAAACTTTTATATGCCATCGAAAGCAATTCAGGCTTTGAACTTAGTTAGTTGCCACAAATGAACATCAACAGACATGATAATTTAGTGTTAAGGAACGCACTAAGATTTTATAGAAATAAAAAAAACAACAACAAATTTATTTTAACTTGATTTTTTTCATTCATTTGTTCTTTTCCAATAAACATAGTCATTTCAGTCAGACGACATTTGCTACAAATCGAAATCAGAAAAATGTGATTCCGCCACCAAGTGACGTCGTACCTTTAAACAATTGAAATGACATGTAATCAAAATTGAAACTATCGCACGCTTAATTTGGAGATATGCTGAGCTTCGTAAGTAGGGGAGTGTATGTGTTGTAGACTGTATGGTTGTATATAAAAGTATAGATTAGGTAAGCACGTGATTACAAGTACGAAAAAATGAATGTTTACGTTGTTTTGATTGTCCATTGAATGTTTATTAACAATTTGACAAAATAAAATGACATTTTTAAAAAGTAATTAATATAATTTAATAAAATTGTTTTCAGGTAAATTTGTTCTATTTCACCTGATCACTTCGTTTGTTAATTTTAATATACATTTTGTTGTTTCTAATATACACTTGCGGTAAACACATATCCTTGTTCTCTTTGAAAAAGCAAAAGAAAAAAACAGTAATAATAAAACAAAGATTACAATAAAGAACAATGCAAAGGCAGCCAGAAACAGATATATAGCCATATCGATTTGTTCTACTTACTTTTTCTATACATAATAATTAATTGAAGATAGGTTTTGTTTTCGTATGTATATATGTATATATTTTAACCGTGCTAAGATGTAACGAGTGTTTCATATCCGGTTGGTCCTGGATTTTCTTTTCTTTTGAGACCACAACAGAGGTAGCAAACAGTTTTCATTGTATCCCATATTGATTGTTGTTCTTCTTCATCGGCATACGTTCGAAATATACCCGATGAAAAATCATTTGGATGCATTTGTCCAATGAAACGCTTCAGTTCACTGTTTGGAAACCCATCTTTGTAAAACTTTTTGATCGTATCATATGCATCCATAATCACAGCAATGAACAATGAAATCACCACATAAATAAATAGCCCAATAAATGAGTATAAATAAATGCGACTAAACCACCATAACAATTGCGATTTGGTGGACATAATTGAAAACGTGGCAAACATATCGTCACCATTGATAAGTGAGAACAAACATTCGGATGTTGTGGCCAACGAACGAAATTTGATGTGATACGGTGCCAATACAAGCCAACCGCAAAACGTGAAACCAGCATAAATCATAAGAGCGCACAATAGAAAACGTAGAATTTTCGGTGCTGATTGTTTAAGCGTCAATATAACAACGTTGTACGTTTTGAAGAAGCTAAAGTATCGTAAAACACCAAACCAAACCAGCATATTTCCAACGCCCAAAAATACAGAGCATATGTCCCATTGATCGTTGAAGAAATTCTCTCGTTCGATTTGTTCTTTCAAAATTGATCCCAATATCAATAGAATGTCATTACAGATGATCATGATATACCAAAAATTTACAAACTGCCAGCAATCGTCACTGCTTAATGGCGTTCCGTAGGTGACACGGAAAAAGGTATCGGTTTGTTTTTGTAACAATCGAGCACGATATAAAGCACGTGTACACAATGAAAATGATGCAACACATATCAAAATCACAAATCCATTAAGTAAACTTCGAAGTGCTCTATCGATAGCCGTATCAGTTTTATACAATGCATCACCATGGCACTGCAATCGTATCGGTTCTGCATCAAGTGACAGTAGCATTTGGCCATCGTGATCACTATTGTCGAATAGAATTTCGATATCAAATTGGTAGCAATCGGGTGGTGCTATTGGTCCGGCCGCCTTAAGATTGACGGTTTTTATTGAAAAATCTAATGTTGCCTGTACGAATGCCGAAAATTTTATATCAATACCTTTGTCGGCCAAATAGGTGCGACTATCTGTAAGGTTGCTCGTTAAATTTGTGCAAATCACATTTATTATCGGATTGAATGTATAACTCTCATTGAAACCGTAAATTTCACCTTCCTCATAGTGATGAATGCACAGCTTCAGTGGTGGCATTGTATTATCTTGTGTTGGATACGAATAAGAGCCAATTGAACGACTTAAATTCTTGTATCCGGCCACCGCATAATCAATGGTATCATAGAATTCATCTTGAAAGTATAATGCAAATGGACCCTTAGCTGCCGGATAAGATTCAACCTCGCTCGTATCATCCCATCCACGTAAAAATAAATGCGAAAATGACACACGATTATCCCATGTATAGTTGACATGAATGTATCGTGAATGTGCAAATAAACAAAGTTGCATGGTAAGCAGTACAATTTTAATTAATTGTACAACAAATTTGTATGGAAATTTACGGCGTGCCTGCCATTTTTCGATTGGATTCATAAAGAAAAATTGTAGTTTACGTCGCATACGATCTTCATTGAACGCTGACATTGGACTCAGCTGGGATGATGACGATGACGCAGACGGTTGACTACTACTTGTTGGCACTCCGGTAAAGCTTATCTCCTCTGTGGTTGATGTTGCTGTGTTGTTTACATGATTATAGGATTTTCTTTGGTTTGTTATATTATCATTCATGGTTTTATCTAAACCCAATTGATTTGTCGATGGATAATCGCTGGCCATTTTTTGACGTCGTTGATTTACCACCACTGAATTGGGATTTATCACGTTACACTTATCAGATGCCTGTTGCTTATTATCTACCGTATTCATTTCATTGTAACCTTCTTTGTCATTGTTGTTATCATAATCATCGTCACTGTCACAATCGAGGTTTGCACAATAATGTTCAGGTGTAATGTTGCTCATTTCTAAGCAGTCACTGCCTCGATGGCCAATGACTCTCCTTACAGTCTCCTCAATGGTAATTGGCCTTTATGTGATCCAATTTATGAATAAATCGTTGTGGATTCGCTTGAAAATAACAACACTTTCACTTGACGCCAACGAGTTGACCCTGTCTACGGAAATTCTTATTTTTTTTTCTCTCGCGAATTTGCGTTTTTGCATTCATACATTGATTGATGAGTCAGTGTTAAGCACGATCATCCCCTGATAGTTACCAGATGTGCGGCAAAGGAAGTTGGTCGAATGCAATAATTGCATTCAAATGGTGTAAGAACTAAAAAAAAAAGAGAAATAAACACACAAAAAATCGCAATATTGAAAGATTTTCTACACAAAACTCACAATAAAAATGCTATTTTAAGTAACCAAATCGATTCTCACATACCCACTTGTTTATGGACGTATAGTTTCTTTGTTATTTTTTCAATTCATTTACAAAAACGCATTTGTGCACTTCAAGCAACAATTTTTCTCTGTTACGTTTCCTTAGTATACAATGAACTAAACACTGGTCGTACAAAAACGTTTATTAAATGATAATTTAGCGATTTTCTTCGTTTCATATATACAATGCAAATGTATTTTTCCATATGACTTTTATTTCATGTTTTTTTTTTTGTGTGTGTTTTGTTTCTTTCTTATTTTGTTCATCTGTTTTTCTATTTTTATGTGACAAGTATCATTCATAACTAATACTTACACCGACAATCAAATACATACGCTTTTTATTCGTTGTATGTACACGTATTCGTCGAATCTTTCGATATTTTGCACAAGGAACGCACTCGCAATGCTTGTTGTGAGGAATATTTATTTTAACGTAGTATAATTTCAGGCACCAGTAATATCGAATTTGATGTTTGATATTAAAACCAAAAAATGTATTATTAATTCAAAATTTATTGATTCAATATCATTATATATACAATACAATTTACATTCTGTTTATTTTAACATAACATTTGTTCGTACTGATTTTAAATTGTAACTGAAGTGGAATTTTCATTCTCATCTTCAACCGATGTCATGTCTTCGCCATGTAGTGATCTTTGAATTTCATTGAATGTCTTACCTTTTGTTTCAGGTACAATACTAATAACAAATAACGTACATAAAGCAGCAAAGCCGGCAAACATAAAAAATGTTTGTCCGACACCAATCATGCTCTTCACATTGGTAAAGAATTTTGTAACCAAAAATGCAATAAGCCATGACGTGGAACCGGTCAATGAGCTTGCAATTGCTTTTGCTTCGGTGGCAAATATTTCCGAAACTAAAACCCACGGAATAGGTCCGCAGCCTAATGAAAATGCAATTATGTACACACATAATGAAAAAATTGGTAACCAATTTAAATAATCTATATATGGACTGTTATGATCTTGAAGAAAAAAGTATATGCCCAGTCCAATATTGCATACAAACATAATTGAAGCGGATATTGAAAGTAAAAATCGCCGACCCAAACGGTCAACGGTTAATGAAGCAACAAAAGTTGCAATAACTTGCATCGTTCCAACAATAATGGTGGCCAAAGTCGATTCAATGCCCGCATTTGCCATTCGAAATATTTCGCTTGTATAGAAAATGACCGCATTTATACCGGAAAATTGCACTAAAATTACCAACGTCAGACTGATGGTAAGTGCACGTTTTGTAGATGATTTATTTAATGCGGTCAATATGCTTGTTTTGTTTTGTATCATGAGATTGTGCTCAATTTGAATTTCCATCAATTCATCATTGATGTTATAATCCGAACCTCGCAACCAAATTAGTGCATTTTCCGCACTTTCCGGACGATTTTTCATAATATAAAAGTAAGGACTCTCTGGCATCCACACAAATATCGCACCAAAAATCAACGGAAGTATTGCACAAATTGCATTGAACGTATTCAGCGAAAAGAAATGCCCAAAGACATAGGCAAATAAGATTCCAATCGTAATCATGAGCTGCGTAAATAAAAGAGAAGCGTTAAAATGGAGCGAATTTTATAAAAAAAAATATACGACGTACTTGCAAACAGCTACTTAATGTGCCACGAATATCCTTTGATGCAATTTCTCCAATGTAAGCAGGCGCAACTACAAAAAATGCTCCACCTTTTGTTTATAGATACATATATTTTGTTAATAAATAATAAAATATGTAATAAAAAATACTAATAGATATATACCCGCAAACCCAACACTGAATCGTCCGATATATAGCATAGCAACCGAAATTGGCCAAATAATCAATGCCCAGCCAAATGAAAACGGAATTATTAGCAGAAGCATTGTTGATTTTCTACCAACGATATCCATAACTAAACCAATAACAAGACAACTTATAATTCCGCCTATCGTTGCAAATGAGCTTATCCAAGAGTATTGTTCATCAGTTACAGTAAAATTGTATGCACTTTGTGTCACAATATATGTTTCGGCTGGGGATGACCATCCCAGAACAGCCCCAGCGGCCAATGCTCCAGTTGTCGCTGAATAAATACAACACCCATTATTCGGTCGCACATTTTTTGTTTTGTTTCAGATATGTTTCATACCTGCAATAGTGGCACTGTATTGTGGTAATCGTTTCGCATGACCCAGTCCATTTTCAGCAACCATAATTGGATCCTGGAATTCATTATAACATTTATTAAAAATTATTTATGTGAACAAATTGAAATGTTTATGTCATAAAAATGTATTCGATGTTTTGATATGATATTTACACCCCCAAAAAATTACCAACTCATTTTCGGATCGAATGCTTTCGTATTGGGTCCGATTTGATTGGAGCAACGGCTGTTGTTCATCTCTTTGAGACATTGTGGCTGATTTACGATCAAAATGCCACAATTCACTGGTTTTATTCAATTAACTGATTACTAAAAGATACCATTCGTATTCATCAGCAAATTTACAGACATTGGATATTTGACATTTATCTACATACATATTCCTTTGTTTATATTATTTCGAAAAAAAATTGCACAAAGAACGCACCCCATTTCACTTTGATGTAACAGTTATATTTGAAAAAGAAAAAAATCTTTTATTTTCATGAAATGATTGATAAACTTTGCGTGATTTTAGTTACACTGATACAACCTCGGAATTATCAGAGGAAAATTCCAAAAGATTTTTTTCTCTCTCAAATGAAAAGAAGTGTGATGAACAATCTAGTGTACAATTGGTTCGTTTGATGAGATTATGCGATTTATCACTTTGATGAAGAAATGAATTGTTGAATCTCTTCTACAACTAAAACACAAACCTGAAGTTTATTGATTAAATTTTTTTTTAATTAGTAAGTCTATTTAATAATAAGTTCACTATCCTGGTTATTATTTTAATGAACTATTTAAATAAAAAATAAACTCATTATCAAACTTTTAAATCTTAAATAAAAAACTATGTGAAAAACGCTCCAGAAATATCGAATATATAACAACGAATCTCTGACTTTCGAATGGAAAACGATCCGTTCGTTTCAAAGTTTATTCGAAATTTGATTTATCTTTTCGCCCGCACAGTTATTTAATTTGTGTTATTTTTTTGTTTCCGTGACTATGTATCTCATTTGTGCACAAATGTTCTACATATTTACTGTCGTCGTTCAATTCTTCGTATGCGAATACAAAGAAATAAATTGAAAACAATAACTCTTATCAATGTATAAATAAAAAAAAAATTAAAAAAATTAACGCTTCAAACAAATTTTTGTTTCACCAATGATATATATATACTGCATTTTATGTGAGTTATCATTTTTGTTACTGTGCCACATTAAACGTCCAATTAACAACCAATAAACCAATTATTGTTTAGTCTATTTACGTCCATTTCCGAAAAATTCTAATTTAGACCACTTTGATTCAAACGAAATTCAATCGAAAATTTAAGAATGTATTTTTATATGTACGTTCTATCAAAAAGGTTCATCGAAAAGGTTGTCTAGAGAAATGTCGATCGAACATTTATCTCGACTTTCTGAGAGAAAGAAAAGAAAACATTCAATTATTCATTGTCATTTTATGAATTGATTAAAACGTGAATTGTTTGTCAACTTATTGTTTTAACGAGTTTTTGGTTATCGTCGACGTTAATTAGTAGGCATTATTTCATCGCGAATCGAATCGGAGTGAAAAATTGAAAAATAAATTGACACATACCTTATTTGTATTCGCTGACGATCTAATTAAAGTCGAACTGCAAAAAATCGATTGAAACACAAAATTTGCTACATTTGCTTTTTTTGCACAACATTTCATTGTTTTACTACATATTTATTTAACCATCTGGATGAACTTATTAGATTTTTCAACAATAATGATGATACTTGTACACTTCGAAAAAAAAAAAATGAGAAAAGAACATTTATTTTATATAAATATTTTGCTGGCGCATGTTGTGTATTCCAACGAAAATTCATATCAAACGGGATATATTTTTTAAAAACTTTTTATTTATGAAACGTTGACAATATACCCTACTACCTCGTATTCAGATAGCTCTTCAGACTTTTGATGGTTAAAATAGAACTAAATCAATCTTGAAAGATTTTAGTATTTTAAAATTAAATTTAAATTAATAGGGTAATAAAATCAATCTTCATCAAACATATGAATATACATTTGCTTATGCTATTTTTAAGCTTGAGCATTGTTTGTCTGTTCTTATTTATTTATTTTCAATTGTTTTTGGAATATATCGTATAAACTTTAAAGGATAGATATGCATTGTAGCCGTGTTGTTTTCTTTCAATTATTAGCAAATATTTCATGTGAATCATTTTACTTTAAATGGAGCGTTCACTTGTACATGAGCATTTTCGAATGAAAATAGATACATTTCAAGGATTATTTTCCATAAATCCTAGCATTCTCATAAAATAAAGCAATTCATTGAATTATCTATTTTCAATCGTTACAAATGAACCAACGTCAATATTTAAAAAAAGAAGAAAATTAATTGCCAAGTTTTCTTGAATGTTTTCATCACATTATTTTAAATTCTAACTAAATACACAAAATTCTATGGCATACAATTACCAATCGAAACAAAAAAACAGTTACATTACAGGCAATAAATCAAGAATAGTCAAAATAAAAACACTAACACTAACACATAGGAGATGACACTCTCTCCGTCGCTATAAGCATTTTAAAATTTGGAATCAACGGTAGTAGTTCCGCTTGGATGTTCTTTTCCAATGATCTTTTCTCCTGCAAGCATTCGTTGAATATCCGGCAAAGATTTGCCTTTGGTTTCTGGAACAAAGATGAATACAAATACTGCGCCCAAGATGCAGAACAATGAGAAAATCCAGAATGTTTCTCCCTTGCCAAATGTGTTGTTCATCCAATTAAATGTAGAGGTGACAAAAAATGCAACCGACCAATTCAATGCACCAGCCGCTGAACCTGCAACGCCTTTAATGTCATTTGAAAATAATTCACCCATCATCATCCATGGAATTGGCCCTGAAAATTACAAACCGGTTGTTTTTGTTAAAAAAAAATTTTGATATATAAAAAATAGATGAAATGACTTACCAAAACCAAGTGAGAAGAGAATAATGAAGACACACATTGACACAATTGGTAACCAACCGATGGATGCAACACTTTCTTCATCCTGACCTTGCATATAAAAATATGTGCCCAACAAAATGGTACAGAGCGCCATTATAATTGCCGATGGTAATAATAGCAAACGACGTCCCAATTTATCCACAATGATTGATGAGATAAAGACAGAGATTACTTGCATGACACCAACAATGATGGTTGCAAGGCCTGAATCGACGCCGGTTTTGGCCGCTTCAAAAATATCTTTGGTATAAAAGATGACTGCATTGATTCCGCTCATTTGTTGGAAGAACATCAAGCCCAAACCAATGTAAACCGCTTTGATTGTGGAACGACGTGAAAGTGCTGCAGTCAATGAAACCTTATTATTTTTATCAGCTTCGTGTTGTGCTTGTAATTCAGCCAATTCTTGACTATAATCGTATTCACTGCCTCGCAACCATTTCAATGATTTGGCCGCAGCCTCTTTTTTTCCTTTTGATATCAAATAGGCTGGGGATTCGGGCATAAAGACAAAAACAATTGCGAATATGATTGGAATGCAGGCGCAAATTAAGTTCAATGTGAATACGTTTGCTTGGCCACCCACAATGTATGAAAATAAAACACCTAATACCAACATCAATTGGAAATAGCTTCCAAGCGAACCACGAATGCTAGTTTGTGCAATTTCACCAGTATAAGTGGGTGCAGCAACACAGAATGCACCACCCGAAATACCAAGCAAAAAGCGGCCACATTCAAGCATTGCCAAATTTGTCGGTAATGTCACCAGAGCCCAGCCAACAGTAAATGGTATTACAAGCAACAACATGGTCAATTTCCGGCCAACAATTTGAATGATTGTACCAATGAAAAGACAAACAAGAGCTGCACCAAGCGTTACGAGTGATCCAATCAGAGAAAAGTCGGTATCACTTATAGGGAATTCATAATTGCCAGCCTGTCCAGTTCCATTTATGAGTGCAGCTTTTATTGGTGACGTCCATCCCAATGTTGTACCGGCTGCAAATGCACCACCAGTTGCTGCAATTTAAACACAATAAAAACGATTAATCAACATTCGATTTGTTAAACAAATTTTCAATTCACTCTTGATATTCAGAACATAAATTAAATTCGACCCACTGCTCACTTTTATTTTCAAACTATTCGCCAATAGCTTTTTCAATTTTTTAATTAAACAAAAAGAAAATACTTTTAAAAAGAAACCAACCTGCAAGAGCAGCAATATATTGTGGAAGTGTTTTACTGGGATTTGGAGGTCTTTGGTCATTATCAGCCATCATTGCAGTTTGAGCACCCTGTTAAAATAAAAAGGACTAAATAATATTTTTCAAACTTTTAAGAATGAATCAGTTTGTCAACTGCAGATGCGATTCAGCTTATTTTCTGGTATTAATTATTGAAATCATAAATCAATATGCTTATAAAAATTCATTGGCAAAAAAAAGATGGAAAACCAACTGAAGAATGAAGGTGTTCGAAAGAAAAACATATGTCATGTCAAATTTTAACATACCGGTTCTTTTTTTGACCCATAGATTTGCGCTTGAACAACATTGCCACTTAGCAATCTCTCGCACTCGGCGGTCTCTATATTACCAATTTCCGAATCCATTGCGTTTTTTTTTATTTCCTTTTTAATGCTTACACTTTTTATAAATTAATCTAAATGCTTTTTGATATTTAAACAATATTGCCATACACACGCTGGTAATGATGAAATAGATTGAGTTTCTCTATTTTTTTTTTCAACATATGAAGAAATTGTTTAATAAAATAATGAAATCCTCGACCACGATGCTAAGACACACAGATAGTCACAACCGTACATTCGGTAATAATTTCCAAAATCGAATTTGGGATAAAAACAAAAAAAATGTATGCAATTTTTTAAAATAAAATTATTTCCCCGAATGCATTTAAGCAAAAATTGACAAATAATTGTATAATTAATTGCTTTAAGAAAGATTCAGTTTCATCACAATGGTTCAACCATAAATTTTACTACCACACAGTTCAATACATAGTGAAGAACTAAATCTATTTTTTTGTTCACCAAAATTCAATGTTTATGTTTTCTAAGTATTTGTTACACAGCCAAACATTTTAGTATGTGTATATATATGTATATATGCGTGCGTGTGTGCGTGTTAATATACGTTTGTGACTACTTTTTAGTATCTTGTCTTCATCATGAATCGTTGAATGTTCACTTAAAATGAACTTGAATCTCTTGCTTTAGGGGTATATCCTTTTTAAGGTAAGACGCATTTTCAAAAAAATGCAACACATTGACAGTTGAGTCAACGAAAAAGGAGACATTTCATGGTATCTATATATTGTTAACCTGGTTGATATTGCTGATTGATGAATAAAATATATGTGAAGACAGAGTCACGGTCGTTAAGAAATCTATTTTAGTTTTAGTCATCTTTTTTTTTATTTATGATTTAATCAAATCAAAAGAGACGATATGATAATTTGATATTTTCACGCATTTACGACTTGTTGCTCTGCACTTAGTTGCTTTTAATGTTTTAGCACTCGTTATGCGATTAACTGAATGACGAAACATCTGCTTGTATTACGATTAATATGAATGTTTTCCAGAAACCAAAGCGGAATTGGCAAATTTACTCAATGAACAAGTAAACAACAAAGTATGCAACACAAACGATTTCTCGAAGATAGTTAATTCAATAAATCCTATTTCGTAAACTGCTTTAAAATGGTAACTGACATATTACTTCATATTATGAATCATGAAGTTCACAGTAACTAGATTCTAATGAATTTCACGTTTAAAGAGTCTATTCTTTTCAACGAAAAATGTATGGTACACTAAGCACAGACGGTTATTAGAAGTTATATTAACTCGATGGCTGTCTCAAGAGTTGTCTACATCATATAAAATATGTGAGTTATGGTCATCAAACTTAAGTGTTCAAATAAGTAACAGCAAAAAAACGAAAATCGAATGAAATCCAATTCTGAAAAACGTCAATTGCTTTTCATTCAAATCGAAAGTACGTAAAACGTGAAAACATCAACTGAAATAGTTTTGTGGTGTCGACAGTTTTGGCCAATCGAAATCATGTAAATTCAAGGCACGACTTTGTGTGCCGTTGTCTATTGAATCGATAGTTGAGTGCAGTGTTTCATAACACAAATTGTATATTTTTTTAACTCGTCTCTGTGTCGGTATTACATACTATGGCGCCTGAATTAACATTGTAAATATACATTGTTTTCCATATTCAGTATAATCAAAATGCGCACAATTTATCAATATGTTTGAATCTCAAATTGATTTATAATTGTCGTTGATGGCAATGCCTTATATATGCTGGCAAAAAAAAAACATTCTTATTATCATCAAATATTATAAATGAATATTTGAATTGAAGGTTTTTTTTAATTTGAACAATGCAATAAAAAGAACAACGAACTGAATTCAGTTCAAATGCACACTCGTATGGAATCCACATGTAAAATATTTGACGAATAAACTATCGAAATTCAGGGAATAAAATCGATGCACTAAGACACACGTTTATCTAGACGAAACGAAACGAGCCCCCCAAACTCATCAATATGAGCGCGTGTTTTATTTTTGAACCAAATTTCAATTCGATTATATAGATAACAGCACACTGTCAACGACGGTAAAACGTGCAGCGACTATAAAGGGAAAATTGATGGTTGAAATTTACGTGATGAGCGCTAATGCCGGTGACCTTCTCTAGGACAGAAGATGTAATACAATAAAATTGTACGCATTTTATGAACGACAATACGTAGTACCATTGTAAATTTGCAGCACAACCGATTAGTATAACATAAACAATCAGTTTGAAATATGTAATTATCAACAGATTTGTGTCATGTTTGCAGCGGCTGTGACAATCGCATTCAAATTATTCAGTTAATATTTTTTTTCGCAGCCAATGTTCGATTTCACACTCAATTAATTTGTTAAATTGGTTTGGTAAATGCTCTTGGCTTTCGTTCTGTTCCAATTTTCATTTGTGTTAAAACCGTAATGTTGACCTTTTGAAAATTCGGTCACATTATCTAACCAAGAGATTATACTGGAGGTTTAAAGTTGTTTTTCTCGTCGGCACACAATGCATGTATTATATAAGCTTAAAGCTATCGGTATATTTACGCTAATGGCAATCTGATAGTTTACAAGAATCAATCACATAAATATCAGAAATTGTAACTGAATCGTTTTTGTTTTGCTTTTGATGTTTGCTTAGGACAGAAACTCGTGCTTGCATCAAAAATAAAGGATGGACTTTTATCAATTGAATGCTCTACACTAGTCACACTGCAATTATTTTTCGTTACAAAGTTATGATACATAAATAACCAATTATGATGAAATATGAATTCCTAAAAAGGACACCCTTTAAATGCAAGAGAAGTAGTTTTGTTGAGATGAAGAGAGATATCGCGTAATGTTTACATTTCTATTTGGTTTTTTAGTCAGTGTCTGTATTGATATGGTTCTTTTTTGTGTATTATTTCAACAAATTATATTTCACACACAATAAATCATTTTATAACAAACACAATTTGCGATATTCACGGTTTTTATGGTTTCAGTTTCGATTTATTTTGATTAGAACTGCATTTATTTATTGATTTCAGCTTATTATCTATTTTCGTTATCAATAAGAAATTCGGTTGAGTTGTATGTCACAACAATTCACAGACAAATGAATACCGCTACAATGTGCAATACGGTTTTATTCACAGTTGTTTTGATTTAAACTTATTCTTAAGGTTCATATGAATGTCAACGCCAAATATGTATATACACATACAACGTGTAATATGCAACTATGACAATATACCACCCACACATACATTAAATAGTCGAAAAAGAATTGACGCAATTGGAAAACCATCGTTGTTGTTGTTGTTGCTTGTTTTTTTGGAGGAAAAAAAGGGAACCGAAATGTTCACGTGTGTTGGTTCACGTTTTCTATTTTGATGCTAATGCGCAGGTCATAAGTTGATGAAAAGTGAATCTCATACAAACAAACATTGACCATCCCGTGCTCTTCATCAAACGTTATCCCGATTTAATATTCCGATTTGAGCGTAACAATTATGAAATATTTCGTTGATAATGCGAAATATCGTTATTTTACAAAACAAAAATGAACAAAGAGTAGAATTTTAATTGGAAATCATGTGGAACGCAATAGATAGAATTGGCGATGGGGTTGAGTTTAATCACCTTGAAACCATCATCAAAGTCATTCTTACAATTTTAACGATAAAATTTAATAAAAAAAGAAACATAGATTTAAAAGATGATATTTATACATTTTTCTCCAAACGAAAAGAAGAAGAGAACCGATTATTAGTTTTCATGAAAAAAAAAATGTCGAACATTCGAAGAAATTCCATTTCAGCCGGTTAACCACGATCACGTGCATATGTTTTTGTGAGTCTGTTTTCGTCAGTTTTCATTTGTATTGCAGCATGTGGTATATGCAATTTATTTCGTCTTGAATTTGCCCACAATACGAACCTATCAAAGCCCACTACGTCAAAGGTATGGCACATTTATGTACTCATCACACATGCGTACGCTATTCGCTCTTTTTTCTTCTTCTGTTTCTCTCTCCATTCTTCTTAGTTTCGCAAATATTAACGATTTATGATGTTACTCATTGATGACGCAAAAATTCGATGGAATTTGGAAATTCTACAGCCTAACCAAAACTCATTGGAGATGGAGCGAAAACATGCTTATTGAAGCAAGACTGTCGTTCAAATCATAATATAAGATATAATAAATGATTTCCGATGTGTTTCTCAATTATTTCAAAATATGAGCAAGTTCAAGCTTTATGATTGACTACCATCAATCTAATGTTAATATTATCTCTTGCTCCCGTGTTACAGCGCATAAAATATTTGTTTTTTCTTCACGATTTTATTTGTTTTACAATCGTAAGCTATAAAAATTGTTTACAATTGCTATAAACACTTATCAGCTAGAACACTGTTTTCAAAACTAATGATTATCTTAAACAATGACAATAATAGTCACGTTAGATAAAGTGGACCTTGATAGTTTTGCGATTGATTAATTTTAATGTGATAAAATTGAATCGGTATCGGTATTGATTTTGGTAGCCAACACCGGTTCATCATCCTTATACATTCCATATATACATATACAGTTTTTTTGCGAGTAAGAGAATGCCCGATAATTTGAAACAGGTTTTTCTTGTCGTTTTAACATTTCAAGCGAAAGTAACACAAAAGAAAAATGGCAACAATTTACTGTATGCATTTATTTTTAAGAATTTATTTTAAATCGATTCAAGTTATAATGCAGAACGCTTGAGTGATGTTGATTTTTTACTTGTTGCGAAACGGACGAACTGTAAATATTTGCTCAAAGGCATTTCAAGGAGTTTATCGCAAACATGCACATACATTTGTTATCAAAATATTCAAGTCTTCAGATATGCGAGATTCATACAATTTTTGCGTTTAATAAGGACAAACAATGTCAACGTTTGGACAATCGAAAAACAAGTTCCTCTAAAAATCGAATACTTATGCAAATAAAGACTGAAAAATTAAATGACATTTGGAAAAAAAGGAAAATAATTGTAGAAACGTGAGATCGTGCTTCGATCTGTGTTTGATTCCATTTAAATGAATCTATTTGTTGGAAACGGTCCAGTTGCGAGAACATAACATTTGTGTTCAGTCAAGTGTGGTGGGCAAAATGGATTTCATTTAAATTACGGAAATTGATTCAATAAAATCTAGCAAAATGTCAAAACGTGCCAATGAATTATTAAATTAAGCAAAATAAAAGCAACACTCCTAATTGGATACAGCCTATTGAAAATTCTAAAGAACACTTACTTATTTTGGAACATAAAAATATAACTAGTGAAACATATTTTCTAACGTTTTTAATTGTATTTGAATTGATGGTTTTTTTTTGTTC